CACAACAAATATCACATATATAGGGCATCTTTCCAATAGTCATTCATGTGTGAATTGTTCTTTCAGATTTAATGCAAAATGCTGTAGAATAAATGTCATAAAATGAGTGAAAAAGGAGAGTTAAACTTAAAAAAAGTAATGAACAAAACAATGAACGTGTCTGCAGAAAGCCTTCGTCAGGTAACAACAGAACTATAAAATTAAAAAAATATCACGTACTGGTAGCTTTGAAGTATATCCGCGGGTATCGAATACATTTTGCTAGAATTGTGCAATGAATTGTCAAATAAATGTCACGTTTGAAGGGTTTCCGTCCAGTATGTCTTTTTATATGTCAATCTAAATAAAATAAAGTCACAAATGCAACGGAACAAATTAGACAATTAAAGATTTTTCTCTCCAGTGTCTTCTTTTGTGTGAAGTTAATTGTGAATTAGAAACAAAAGCACCAGAACAAATCTCACATTTATAGGGTTTCTCTCCAGTATGAATTCTTGTGTGACTATCTCTTTGACCTTGAGTAGCAAATGCAGCGGAACAAATATCACTTTTATAAGGTTTCTCTCAAGTATGTGTTCTTTTGTGTGAAGTTAAAGTTGAACAAGCAGCAAATGCAGCAGAACAAACGTCACATTTATAAGGTTTCTCGCCAGTATGTGTTCTTTTGTGTAAAGTTAAAGTTGAACCATTAGCAAATGAAGCAGAACAAATGTTACATTTATAGGATTTCTCTCCAGTATGTCTTTTTTTGTGCGAAGCTAAACTTGAAGACGTACGAAATGCAACAGAACAAATGTCACAATTATAGGGTTTCTCTCCAGTATGAATTCTTGTGTGACTATCTATATGACCTTGAGTAGCAAATGCAGCAGAACAAATATCACATTTATAAGGTTTCTCTCCAGTATGCATTCTTTTGTGTGAAGTTAAAGTTGAACTAGCAGCAAATGCAGCAGAACAAACGTCACATTTATAGGGTTTCTCTCCAGTATGTGTTCTTTTGTGTGAAGTTAAAGTTGAACAAGTAGCAAATGCAGAACAACAAATGTCACATTTATAGGGTCTCTCTCCAGTATGATGATTTCTTGTGTGGTTTACCTTTTGAGATTTAGTACAAAATGCAGCAGAACAAATATCGCATTGATAGGGTTTCTCCTCAGTATGAGTTCTTGTGTGAACAGCTCTTGAACCTTTAGTAGAAAATGCAGCAGAACAAATGTCACATTTATAGGGTTTCTCTCCAGTATGTCTTTTTTTGTGCGAAACTAAATTTGAAGACGTACCAAATGCAACAGAACAAATGTCACATTTATAGGGTTTCTCTCCAGTATGAATTCTTGTGTGACTATCTCTTTGACCTTGAGTATCAAATGCAGCAGAACAAATACAACATTTATAAGGTTTCTCTCCAGTATGTGTTCTTTTGTGTGAAGTTAAAGTTGAACGAGCAGCAAATGCAGCAGAACAAACGTCACATTTATAAGGTTTCTCTCCAGTATGTGTTCTTTTGTGTAAAGTTAAAGTTGAACCAGTAGCAAATGCAGCAGAACAAATGTTACATTTATAGGATTTCTCTCCAGTATGTCTTTTTTTGTGCGAAGCTAAACTTGAAGACGTACCAAATGCAACAGAACAAATGTCACATTTATAGGGTTTCTCTCCAGTATGAATTCTTGTGTGACTATCTATATGACCTTGAGTAGCAAATGCAGCAGAACAAATATCACATTTATAAGGTTTCTCTCCAGTATGTATTCTTTTGTGTGAAGTTAAAGTTGAACTAGCAGCAAATGTAGCAGAACACACGTCACATTTATAAGGTTTCTCTCCAGTATGTGCTCTTTTGTGTGAAGTTAAAGTTGAACCAGTAGCAAATGCAGAAGAACAAATGTCACATTTATAGGGTCTCTCTCTAGTATGAGTTCTTGTGTGACTAGCTCTCTGAGATTTAGTAAGACTAACATCATATATTTCTTTCTTTAGGAATTTATTATATTGATTATTCACATATTTCACACTGACCGAGCTCTCCGAGTCTGTATCTTGTTTTGGGTTGACATAATATATTTCGTTCTTTAGGAGTTGATTATATTCAGCATCTATCTCTGTCACATTGTCCAAACAGTGAACATCTATTTCTTGCTTTTGTTTGACATCATTATAAATTTCTTTCTTTAAGAGTTTATGATAGTCATTGTCTATCTCCGACTTTGGTATAATATCTTCTTCGTTTATAATCAAGGGAATAAATTTAAAATCAGCCTTCTCCATGTTAAAGACCTTTGACTTCCTGAAAAATAATTTTAAAATTTTTTATAAATTTGCTTTGCTTTTTTTTTTTAACACAAAAAATTGTAACTGATAACTATCATCAGTGGAAAAGCCTATTACTTTATTAATTACATTTACATCACTACTGTGTACAAATATTGTATTAATGATTAAATTGAAGGCAGTGTTTACACGTCCGATGATTGGACAAATAGTGCGGGAGATATCCTTCCGGAGGGCATGTCACTTGATCGCCGGATGATTTGCATGTAGTGTTACTTTCAGAAATTTTCCCCCGGAGGTCACTTCAAATTTTGTTTTTTTTTTGGGGGGGGGGGG